TTTAAAGTAAAGTATAATGAACATTGCATATCTCGTGTTATCCTGGCGGTTCCAATATCCATCCAGAAATGAGGCGATATCGTCATAGAAGGCTTTGTATCGCTCACTTGGCCACGTATTTGGCGGGGGTCGTGCTCATCAACGACTCACTTTAGCATTGTGTGCAACTTGATCTCACAAGTTGCCCCAGATGCTAGACAGCGAGTTGTTACTCTGGAATTTCTGGTCATGTTGGCGTGGTGGGAGCTGTAGTAGAATTGGTGGTGGACCATCACCACGGGCACCACCGACGCGAGCCTCGTCGACGGGCTCATTATCTTTCAAAGCCATGTATGACCCGAACGCGATGCAGGGACGTCGTGTGCAGCCAGTGGGACTATCATGGCTTGGAGCTGGTCGACAACGTCCCAGCTGGCCACGCTTGTGGCGGTGGAAGTGATGGAAAAGGGCAATGAAGTCGCCACGTATGCCCTGATCACGAGAGTCAACAACCTCGAGAGTCCGTTTGCCGGCATCGTCTTCAAGTACGTCGACTCGTTCTTCAAGATGTCTCGGAACAGCATCAACAACGGCAGTCATCACCGATGCGCGGTGGGACGTGTGGTCAGTGTACGTATTTTCGTACGCGTGAAAACTACCGTCGCTGGGATGCTGCCCCCCCATAAGATGGAGATAACTGTTACTGGAGGTAAAGCGAAAATGGGACAAGAGCAAGTGTTCTGCATGGCGCTGCAGAAAGACCTATGAGCCTTTTTAGAGGTCGGCTCATGGTCTCATGATCGGTAAGGCCGTTAGTCTCCATTATGTGCAGTAGACCGCCATTCGTCGTGATTGTAGCCAATGCTGTGCGGTTGAAAGATGTGGATTGTTGGCGCATTTTCATTGGACCAAAATGATTAGACTTAAAATAGACCAGAAAATGTAATTCGTAGTAAGAGACCTCAGTTTGCAATTTAATTCGGCCTCCGCAAGAGCTTCCCGTCCGGATAACGACGGGAGCGAAAACAGCAAGGTGGTAGCGTCGATCCTCGTGGTCTTCTTGGCCAC